ACATTCATGCTTGCAACTCAGTCGTTTTTAGTGCACTTCTGTTTTCACTGCTTATTAGGGAGGCTGAAGTTAGTTATTCATTGCTGGACAAAAAAAAGTGTCTGAGAAAGTTCATGTACAGGGAACAGCACATTGTTACAAATTAGTTTCCTTTACCATTTCTGGCAAACTCATTACAAAGTAATCGTGCCCTGCGCTGAAGTGCACTTCCTCTGGGACCAATAACTGTAAATAAGCAGGGCTGCAAGCTGGCTGATAAGTTGTTGTTCTGAAGATAACAGTCCTTTTTAGCAGAGTGTTTGACCTTTTTCTTTATATTGCCTCAGGCTTGTCTAAGACCCTCAAGGTCTATTTTTCATCTTAAAATTCTCTGTAGGAAAGCACAATGTGTGGTTTAAGAAGATTTTAGGATTGCTTAACTTATCTATATTTTATTTTCTTGCATTTTTATGATAATTGTTAGGATGCTTCGTAACTTTAGCCAGCATTTTCTTAAGCGGGTTTTCTTTCTTCATGTAAAGTACACTTTTTATTGATGTAAGAAGCAATATAGATTAATATTTTATGAGGAGTAAGTGTATGTTGCATGATTAATAAAATAGTAACATTGGTTTTTTTTTGCTGACTTTTAAAGAAACTTGAAACATACTATTGACCCCTTCCACTATGCACATTTTGAAAGTATTGCACTATATGTTACTCTGTAAAGCAATTTAATCAAATATAATTAAGAATTTCAGGTAGAATGATTGAAGAAAAGTATGTCTCCTCTTTTCTCAGTAAGCTAAGAGTATTGAATAGAACTGTGACTGAAAACTGAGCGTCTCTTAAAAACAAACCCCAAGGCTAAGGGAAAGTCAGTTTATGGACGTTTGGGAATCTAATTTGTTCACATCTTCCTATCAGTTTAAAAAGATCTATGCCAGTATTTCTGTAAATTAAAATAATAATAGGAAAAAAAAATTTCATAGTGCATATGAGAACAAATCCATAATATTTTGTAAAGTGCCAGCTACACTAACAAATTGTTTATTTTACTTTTAAGAAATATTCAGAAAGCCATTTTGCAACCAGGAGTGCACCCAAACTGTAAATAAATAAATAAATAGATAAAGGAAAAACAAGAAATGTCTTACAATGCCAGGAAGTGTAGGTCTTGGTGCTGCTCACGTTGTTGGTCTTTTTTCCCTGCAGATCTCATTACTTCATCAGTTCATTAATTTTACATGTATCTGAAATAACATTACTAATATCTTATATTTTGCAATGTTAACTCAAAAAATAAGGCAAACCACCAATTATGGGGTGAAGATACTTAAAAAAAATCATTTATTGCTATAACATACATCTCATGCATTTGCTGAATTGAGTGGTGATGCTGTCATGCAGGTGTGAACCCTAAATAAAGTAATAGCTGCTGCTTTAGCAATGTGAGAGCTTTTTCATTTGATTTGAAAAGGAAGCAGTTAACCAAAATGGTTATGAATAGACTCTCCTACTCTGTTCATAACCATTTTGGTTAACAAACTATCAGATTAACATAAAATAAAACTATGAATGGGAAAAGTCTTATTATAGTAATTGTATTGAGACTAAAATGTATTGGTACACCATGCAAAATTGGTATCTAGCTTATCTAGCTTCCTCTTAAATTTATCATCATTCCACTACAGAAACTGCCTACCTCAGTTTACTGTAAAGCAGTGCATATATTCTAACCATTAATTAGTTTTCTGTTTTTGCTATACTTAAAAAAAAAAAAAAGGAAAAGACAAATTTTAGGAAATCTTTATAAGTATTCAAGAAGTAAAAGCAGTTCAGAAGTTGCTTCTACCTAAGAAAAAACTTGTTTATTTTCAGTGATAAAATATTGAACTGGTAGGATGGATTAATAGAACAGGGTAATCAACATTTAACTCCTGTTGATGCAAGTTAATGCAAGTTTCTAATGCATTTCACTGTGTTACCTGTAGTATTGGAATATAATTATCACACATCAGAATAAAACTATTTCCCATGATTACAGCAGTGTGAAGGCAGCACTGTAACATTGTTAGCTTTTATTATGAGATTAACATTGGGATGCTGATATCCTTTCTCTATAACACCAAAAAATGTTCTTTAGCGGCATTATCTGATTTCTACAAAGTATCTCTTAAAGTGATGAAGTGTTTTGTTCTTATAGTTCTAGGCTTTTTTGTACCAAAAACTGCTGTCTGGTTTAATGACATTGCTAAGTGGGTTGAAATTAGGTTGACAGATTGTGAGCAAAGGCTGTGATATTCCTAACAATAGTCTACTGAGTGTGAGGGTACTTGTTGTCTGCTTGTTGAATGGGTACTGAAGGCACTAGCATTGGGTCCAGCCTATTTAGCATCTGGAAGAAAGAGACGAGATAGTGGGCTAATGAAATGTCCAAATGATACTAAACTGCAAATGGTTACAGGTGACTATGGCTGCTGAGATATACTATGAAGGAGCCTAGCTGAAGGCAGTTTTATAGGCAAAAAGTAATAAACTTCAATTCACAATTGAGATACGATTCACGAAAGGAAAAATAAATGCGTCTAGAAGGAGGGGAGTATTCAAATCAGCCATTACAGATAAAGAGAGAAAACAGTCTTGCATACAATGATTAGGGAATCTGCATACAATGATTAAATTGCTAAGGGTTCTACTGGGTTTGAGATAGGTATATAGCTTTTGTAGAGCAGACTGGCTTGCAGTGGATCCAGCGTCCTAGCTCTTCACCAGCACTGAATTCGCTGACATCAGTAGAATCCTCAAATGCAAGTTTAAGGATCTTATGGACCCTATGAGGTAGTTGTGGATGGACCATCTGTCCTCCTTACAGATCAGGTCAATTTGATGTTAAAATAGAAGCTGAAATATGCAATAGGTCAGAAATCAAGATATCATTTTTCTTTGGGTGTATTTATTTGTTCTCTTAATAGTCTTTTAGTTTCTCAAAGCTTACAGGATAATTTTTTATGATCTTTCAACTTATAAAGTAAAATTAATTAGCTCCTATTTCCTTATTTGAAAATAATTCAGTCAAAACTTTCCCCTCCTGGTCTCTGCTGCAGATGATAATACAATCTATATGAGGAATTACTGGGATCAGGGGGAGGCATGTATACCTGGCAACTCTCAGGCTGGACCTACTCTACAGTGTATGCTTATCCAGTCTGCTACCTTAGTCTTAGATGACCCACCACTATCACAGGCACAAGTTAGAGTCAAGGGACTCTGAGTGCTTCAGGAAACTATGTCCAGAGAGAGCTTGGAACTGTGAGCTGTGAGGCAGGTCCTGCAATTGGTATCCAATTGATAATATTAGCTAGTTCAGGCCACCTAAATTCTTGAATAAATAAGGAATATTATTTTCCCAAAAATGTCAAATGTGCCTGACATTTTAATGAAAAACACATTTTAAAAAGTCCTTTAATAAAAGACATTACAATGCAATAGCTTCATTTTAATGCTTTTATTTATATTAGGTAGTAATCTGTAGGAAGGAAGAGTTTTACGTTCTAGTTCTTTCATTGTGAACAACAGTGATAGAATTGAACCCTATGGCAGAAAATGTACTTCGGTGAGGAAGGGACTTAACCTAGAGTCAGGCAGATTACATTATTTATATTTGGCAAAGGTATTCTAGCTGTAAAATATTTCAAATTTTTTGAATATTTCATATTCCAAATGTATGCTTTAGGCAAGTGTTTAGGAACAGATTGTTATCATGAAATGGTTTTCTGCAGAGGGAATCGGTTAAGAGAATTTTGTTCTGAAAAGAAGAATGTGGGCAGGAAAGTAAAGAGGATAGCATTAAAAATAGGAAAGATTAAAAATGTCCACTCTGCAATTAGTAAAGCCAGAAACAATTTAGAATAAGCAAGAAATCTGAAAACATATTGATGAGCAGAGCTGAAAATGTTTTTTCCTGCCTCTTTTCTACCCCAAACAGCCAACCAGCCAGATTTTGCTGCTGTTGCTTATATAGAGTAGCATGTTAGCAAAGAACAATCATATTGACTTAAAAGAAGACTTACTGCGGAGGGAGTTATTTAGCTCAAGTACGATTATAAACAACTATTCAAACCCAAATATATATTCAACCCCAAAGTATATGTTGAATTAAAAAATATATCTCAACCCATAAAAACAGGTCACTTTGCAGTGATAATTTTATTTGTAAGTATACTGTAGCACTTAGGATAAAGCATAGACCTATCTTATTATTATATCTGATAAGATGGTTTTGGATTGGATCTGGAAAACGTAAAGTCCTATTTTTGTAGTGTATATATATTCTAATCCTCATCTTTAAAAATTTTGCAATACTTCAAAGGAAACATGCCGATTTAACAATTTAAAAAGCACTTAGCAAGTTGTCCCAGTGCCAAACTTCATTTCTGTAGCCAGTGTAGTTGCTTGTTGAAAAATGCCATTGGGGACAACGAAGCTCTGACTGTGTTTAAAAATGTTATTCCGTGAAATCCACCAGAGAGAAATGAAGCTAAATCTTAGAGCCTCATATATTACCATGGGAAGAGGTGATAGTGGCACCAAATGGAAAAGGGAAAGTATTAAGATGGCTCTTGAATCACAAAGGAGATGAAGTCCTGGCCATCTATAGGGTGAGAGGGACACTCTAAGCACCAGCAAGGGGGACAGGCCTTTGGAGCTTAGACACTCACTGAAAGAGATAGACTAGACAAGACAAATAGTCAATTTGTCTGGATAATAGAGATCTGTGTTGTCTTATTGGTGTATTCATATGTACATGGCTTACTGGTGTGTATTTTGTTTTGTGGTTATAATCAAGTCATTTTAAAAGGATTCTGAAATGCTGAAAAACTAATTATATGTATGTCATATGTTTTAAACATTTTTTTACCAGAGGTAAAAAAATTTTAAAACTTTTCTCAGTGTAGTTACTGTTACGGAGTTTGTGAGCCATTCATTAAAATGTGTTCTTTTTCATATGTTTTTTGTAGGTAACCTTGGACGGGTGGACCACATCACAGAGTTTGAGTATGACCTGTTTATTAGACCTGACACCTGTAACCCACGCTTTCGAGTTTGGTTCAACTTCACTGTTGAAAATGTGAAAGAATCCCAGGTAAATTCATATTAAACTAAACAGTATGATGGCTTTAAAAATTGCTTACTCCAACATATAAGGTATTTTCTTTCTTAAAGAAAAAAGAGGCCATGCAAGCTTCGTTACTAAAAATTTACTATAAAATATGATTCTATCCTTTGAATTTTAATAAGTAAAAACAGGCATCACCATGACTGAATGTCATGTTCTTCAGCTACCCAAGACAGGAAATAATTACAAAGAGAATATAACTTCACTTGAAACAGTGAGGTGGCATCAGAGATAGATATTACTCTAGTACTTTGTAGTAGAAGAGAGGTATCTTACCAGTCTGACCCTTGTGAAATACAAGTTTTATCTCTAAATATGAAACAACTTGATAAGCAACTGCTTCACCCAATTTTAAGTATTATTTCTTCAATTTAAAAACACCCCACGGGAAAGAAACATCTTTGTCTCCATTTTTTCACTTACATTAAAAAAAAATGTTCTGAACCAACTTGCACGTTGACAAATCAACAAAGATTTCATTCGGCTTCTCACGTGTACCTTGAGTATTATTCTGCCATTCTGTGTTAGTTTATTCTAACCAGATTGTCATTTTGCCTAATGGAAAAAAATGTATTTAATAAGAAAAAAAATTGTAGAAGCTTGATATTTGAGTTCCTATGAGACTAATATCTTTATATCCAACACTATACTATTCCTGTTACAACTAGAAATCATGAAACTGTTTATCTATCTTCCTGGAGCCTGACACTTTATCAGACAGACCCTTTCCCCTGCAGTGCCTTAGTCAACTATGATCAAATTATATAGTCATGAGATGAATGGGAATCTGTTTCAAGGAGGCAAAGAGATCTGGTAGAAAGATACAATATATATCTAGTGCTTACAGGATATTTGTTTTCATGGTTGTCTACATGAAAGAGAATGGTTTCACTATTTAGTTTGACTTGTGAGGTCTATTTTTATAATGTGTCTTCCTATAATCTTTTTTTCATCTCTCCAATTTCCGTTAAAAAGAGACCTGCATGAATGTAATCTAGTCTGGAACCTTATTTAGGTCTTTGTACTAGCGGACACGGGCAGTATTAGTCATTGCAGCTCAGCTATATTAAATGAATGTTAAAAATTGCTACATCAAACACACTGTATAACCTGGTTTGTGCATTTTGATTGTTTTCGTTTATATTTCACTAGAAAATAATAAAATCAAAACCCATACCATTCAGTATAGCATAAGACTGTTACACTAATGCAAAAGTATTTTTTACCAGTTTGTGAAAGTACATGTCTTACTAACTCTATATAAAAGTAAATATCTGTATAATATGATATTTATTTTTGGTGTAGCATATAGATGATGTGGAAGGAAAGCAGATCTATCGATTTATGCATCTTCGGTCTAGTTACAGCCAATTAGGTGAGGAACCAACAGGAGTAGTTATAGTTAGTATTTTTATGTTTTGTATATATTACATTTCTTTCTTATTGTTTCTCTTTCAACTTAAAATTCTTAAATCATTTACATAGATGTGAAAATGCATTGAAGATTTTTTTCTTATTATTAGGATATCTCCAGGCTTGCTTAATATTTCACACGAAAGCCTCTATTCACAAAGAAATTAATTTTAAAGGTATCATGAGAAAACAAGAAACATTCTTTCATTATCTGACTCTTATTTACAAATCATCAAATCTTTTTTCCTCTTGTTGCATCAGACCAATCACTGACACACAACAGTGGACAAATGGATAAAAACGTGGAAGAATAAGACACAACATAAATGCAACAATCATACAAACATTAGAAACATGATTTATTTTTTCAGATCTATTACAAGATAGTAGTGCAGTCTTTACAACATTATTTAGTGCGCTATTCTGTGCTATGAATCAAGGAGGGAGAAATGAAAAGAGACCTATTAGGTTTTCCTGTCAATCTCACTGTCCGTACATTCCAGTCCAATTTTAATTTCTTCAGACAATGGGGCTTCTACCACTTACATCCAGGAGCTTTTCCATAGACTCTGATCTCACTGGCAGTGTTGCTTGATATTTAGCCTAAAGCTTTTCTTTATTTAATCTCATTATTCCTAGTTACAATTCTGCTTAACAATAACTCCTCTTGATAAAATAAATTCTCTTCATCCTTGGCTAGTATTCATATTTCTGTAGATTATCACATTCCTCATAATTTGTCTCTCAACCTAGCTGTCATATTTAGTTCCCTTAGTTCTCTACCCAGTAAAGCACTTTAGCTTTAAGTGTTTAAGTATTTTTCAGCTTTGGGGCCTTTGGACTTTCATCATAAGTGAATCTTTCTAGCCCTTTAATAATTAGTCAAGTTTCCTAGGGAAACAAGGTTTATATGATCACAGTGTCTATGTTATACTTGTCTGCCTAGATTTATGTGTGGCTGCTGATCTTTTTCCTCTCCTTTATCCCTCAATAGCTTTTTAACTCTTGGCCGGTTTCAATCCCAGTGGGCAGAGATTCCTGTAACTTTCAGGAAAGCTAGCTGCCAGATTGGGCAGGAGACCCCATTAGTGCTCCCACTGGCAGAAAGGCTGTAGTGTAAGATCATTTCTTATTAAACATCAGAGAATCCACAGAGGAGACGCACAGGAAAAATTATGCTTGGAATTTGCCTTTTTTAGATAGCAAAGAATCCAACCATGAAATCCAAATCCATAGGACATAATAGTCCTAACAGACCAAATATTCGATCAAAATCTAATGGTGAATTCTGAGCGTGCTAACATCCCAACTTAAGGAGAAGGGACTCTAGCCTCTTTGCTCCACTATCCCACTATAGACAACCAAATATTGCAGCAGCCTTTTGTTGCTTTATTGCTATGGAAACTCGTGCCTAATTTGTTGTTCACTATGATATGTAAGTCTTTTTCAGAATGATTGCTTCCTTCCTCCTATTATGTATGTGTTAGCTTACTGTTGTGCTGCAGTAAGAAGGGTAGGAAATAAAACTCAATTCTGCTGAATAGCCATGAGAGCTGTAATCTTTTTAAAATTGTTTTTATAATTTTATGATA